AATAGATCAAACACTGGAAAAGTAATGTGGCTAGAACATTATCAGACTAAACCTATTCTACGTCGTCGAATCAACAAGTTATGATAGGTATATCGTATATGATCAAATATCAAATATAATTGAAGTATTGTACTATTTCAATTCTGTTGACTGATGGATTCGTAATAGTATCTTTCAAGTTTCGCAGTAGCCTAGTGGTATAAGCGTCTGACAGTTGATTGGATATCCGTTCGATCGCAAGTTCGAGTCCGACTCCCGACTATATCTTTTTTTTATTTCTAACCGAATAGTGTCGGTAGATAGTCGGGCGGCCTACTAGCGGCCGGTGCGACACGGGCTAGCCGGGCCGACGATGTATCATGATTGTGGCCCGCTGATGTTGACTGTCGGCAGTTTTTGGAGGGCGTCTAAAGGCCCGCGCGATACATGTTTGCTGGGTATACAGGTAAAAACAAAAGTTCCTCTTTCACTCTTAACTTCTTAACCAGGCCCTGTCTTAACGCCCTGTGGCAAATAAGGTGAGTGGTTCAACTTAGATTCAATATATTTTGAATATAATTTGGGTGATCCTTTCTTAACACAATGGCTTTTGATTCACGTCAATAACCACTTTTCAAGAGAAAATACAAGTGTTTTAAGAAAGTGTGGATTTTTCAAAACTTTCATTCAGAAGCATTCTCCAACCTTCTGCTTCAACATTTCTTGCATTGGAGTATGATCCTTCTTCATCCCTTCTTAATATAATATGGCTCTAGATTCAGGGCAATATCTTCTTTTTAAGAGAAGATACAAGTGTATGGCATTTTTTAATTTTCATTAACAATAATTCAGAACCTATAGAGCATATTAGTTATTGACTAGAGTCTGCTTCTTGTTTGTTTTTTGTTATTGAGGTAAGCGCTAAAAAATGAGGTAGAAATAAGGGATATCAATTCTTTGAGTTGTTACGAGAGTTGGTAATCAATAAGTGTTTATGTAGGTTCTGATTATAGTTGATAATAATTCAAAAATGCTATACTTTCTTGAAACAACCGTATATTGACGTGTGAATAAAAAAGTATTGTGTCAAGAAGGAATCACATTACAATCCAAAGCCAACTACAACCACTGGATATTGCCCCAGAAGTCAAGGGTGAAGTAGCGTTGGTTTTTCCCTGTATAATGAAAGATAGTCATCAGCTTTTCACGAAAACTTATAACTAGGCTAACATTCTGGAACATGAATCTACGATTTGATCGGAATTTCACAAAAAACGGACAAGGATTAAAACATACAGCGTGAAAAATTTGGACAAATGTTTTGGGAGCCGTTTTTTTTGCCGGTGAGTGTATTAACAACTTAACTCTTTCAGGTACAGGAATTTCGAAATATAACACCCCCTAGATGTACAGCTTCATTTTTCTTCACATTTTCAAGAGATTCATTAACAAACTAACTCAAAATGTCTCAAAAGATACGAAAAAATATAAAATAATTTCAGAATCTTCCAATTTTCAGTATATAGATTGATCTGGAAAACTATGTGATTCAATAATTTGTCCGTGATGAACTGACGAGAGAGATTATCCATCTTTAGCCACTCCAGAGGTTCTATTGAAATCTTTTCCATCCACTCCACACCATTTTTTCTCTATCCCTGGTTTCAACTCCGCGATAGGGGTATCAAATTTTCTGGGTCCTGCAGGTATCCATATATAAGTACTGGTGTCTCGATATTCATATCAGACAGTATAATGTTGTTGAAATTGAATTCAAAATCATTTTCCTCATCATTATCTTTGAAAAATGTCTTGGTCATGTTGTATGGTGGGACAAATTTCAAACAGCGTAGATTTTCACATTTTTGGTGAACGAAAAATAAACATATAAGTTGGAAAAATATAACAAGTAGGTTACCTAGATAGTATTTAATGCAACAAAAAATGTAATAACATGATAAGCATGAAATTTGCAGCCGCAATTCGAGAGAAGAAACACAACGTACGGAACAAGTTTCGAGTTTATTCTATTCACTAATAATGTATTATTTTATTCGCTTCAGCTTGAAACATATGATTCAAAAGACCAATATGAGTGAGTAATATGGGGCGGGAGAGAAAATAAACCGTCTTACCACAAATCATAAGCCCATTGCAGAGCGGAATATATATTTTATCCCAGCATCCTTCTAACTCCAAGAAATTCGTGGTTCAAATTCTGCACCCAAGTACTTGAAAGAGTTAAAGTAGTGGTCGTAGGAAAATCGGAAGAATTTCAAATTCTGTTTCTTTTTCCATTTCAATGACTTACTTCTATTCGTGGTTGATGACGGACTTTGGTAGTCCAAAAGACGTCCCCATAAAATATAGCGATTCTTCTGATTTCTTCAAATTTCTCATAGCTTCTCAGATAGTCTGTTATAATATCGAGGGGAATATAGTGTACTTACCGGTGCATTTTCTGTTTATTTCACGACAATGGAAGTTTTCCGTCATTGTGTGAACCTTCAGCTTTTCTCAACTTTCCCACTTATATATCTGATCAGTATTTGATCTAGATGAATAGTTTCACTTGCGGTTTTGTAATATAATCTGATGTGCATGTCAGGTTCGCAAAATAGCATATCAGAATACGGTTGATTATTCAATTTTGAGACATTGGAAGTGTGATAATTAAATGATTATATGCAGTGCCGGATTTGGCCATTCACATTTCCATGTATACAGGTGTATTTGAAGGTCTTACGAAAAGCTACAATGTATTTCTTAGCCCAAAATGAGACAGGCATCTGCTGGTACGACCTTGCAGTAGGAATAACAAATTGGGCGAAATATTAAATATTTTATCATGTAGATATTCGAAATGGCTCATTATCCATATCGAGATCATTATTTATATCGATTCACGGGCATGCAACATTTTTAATTTTGTTTTATAATTACACATTCCAAACTTCGACGCCAAGGACCAAGGAGGTTCAATGAAAAATTTGTAAGGCATACCTATATTTACTGCAAGAACTTCAATAAAGGTACAGAATAATTTTATCCAAAGGTATCAGTGTGGTTTCATCAGGTATCCCAAGTAGCACACATATATTGGGACACTATCGTTGCAGTATTACGAAAATATCGGCAAAATCTTGTGAACGTAATATTGGCGAGAAACAAAATCTGAACATTCGGCGATATTGGTACAATATTAGTTTCACAATGTGGGTGGAATATTGAAAATCAGCTTGTTGCAAGGTCGTCTTGAAAACATCGATGAAATATTTTCACACCAATATTGATTGCTTATATTGGTCACAAAATGTGGAATCAATATTGGCGAGGAATAAAATTGAACATTTGACAATATTGGTGCAATATTAGTTGTATATATTGGTGGATCATTGAAAATCATTATGTTGCTATGTTCTCTCTTTTCGAAAATATTGGTAAATATTGTCATACCAATTTAATACCAATATTGGCGAGATATAAAGTGAGATATTGGCATTGGCCTCGTCCTTGGGAAGCGCTAGAAATAGCATCTAGTATTTTAAATTTTCAATGAATATATGGCCAGGGCAATGTTTCAATCTGCCTTTACTGACATATCATGAAGGGACATAATCGGTTATGATATGATAGGATATAGATACAGATTTCACATTTCAGCAAACGAAACGTGCCTGTGTGAATGCAGAGTGCCAATTGACCAAAGGAATGAACATCTGAATGCAGAAAAATTAGGAATTTTACAAAGAGCTTCGATGGTATTGAGTAGTCCACCAACCTCTTTAATAAACTATGCAAAAACATTCTCTCAATATCCATCTGTATTATTTTCTATAAAGAGTTGGGGATTTCTCAACCACCCATTCATTTTAGATGTCCAGTAGGTAATTTCCTGACATTATTTCTTGTGATTGATTGGATATAAGTTATACATATCTAGAACTGCTCTTCTGTGGCGTTACAAAAGGCGCATTCAGAGATTATAGTCACACTCAACGAATATGTGAACATAAATAAAACAAAATTGTCAATGTATAATAATTGTTAACTGCCGTGGCAGCACTGCTTCAGTGAATTAGAACACACTTCTCAAATTCTCACGTGAGAATGATGAGTTATACCAAATTTCCAGTATGCCACAATAGGAAAGTTTATGCATAACCAAATGATCAACAGAAGAAAATTATTCATGATAAACTTGAAAATACGATATTGCATTGCCCATATAATGTTGACAAAAACTTTCAATTTCAATTGTTCAATTTTGTCCAGCGGTGACAAATGATCCTTGGCACAATTGGCTACATCCTCGTTTGACTCCATGATCATATGAATGTAATGAAGAATATTGTCCAGGTGGAGTCCAGGAATCATTGCCCGGAATCCTTCTACAACAACCTTTGCAACATTGTAGAAATCGTCACCTGGTTGTTGCAATCCGGGAATAAAAACTCTTCTTATTAAAACTTCACATATTTCTTTAGTTTCCTTCACCGATTCTCTGCATATGTTGAACCTAAAAACGTTATAAAAACTTACAAACACGAAACTAAATGTAACACTTCAACTTCAAATAAAACAATAATTATTGAGTGTCTACCTAAACTTATTCGCTTATTCAGATTCGAATGTTATTGTTTTGTTGTCAGGTTAGGGTAATATTGAGTGCTCAATAATTCGATGAAAATTTAGATTATCTGAGATATTGTCTATGCAAAATGTGTTTTTTCTATGCCAAATCTATTCGAAACATCTTGAACGGAAGTTTCATTCCCTACAAAGTACACCAAAGTTGGTTTTAATATTCAATGAACGCTGTTTGAATTATAATTAATTCCCAAGAATCAACTTCGATATCTACCAAACAGAAAAATTATGAGATTTCTGATAAAAAACAATGAATCACTTCTTGTTAAGTCAGAAATTAGGTGAATAAATGATTTCTTAGATATTTTCAGTGGTGGTATTGCCCTGTTTCTTATTAATTAGTGAAGATTTTTGTTTTCAAACTCTCTGACCTATCTTCTATTCCGAGTACATATCCCAATGCCCTCCACAAGTGTATGAAGCCCTTCAGTTCTTCTTCTGATACTTCATGTATACCGATGAATCTTCCTCTGACTAGCGCAAATCCTATGAATCCGAACTGGGTGAGAGCCATTTCCAATTGGTTGATTCTGTAATCCAGTTTTCGGTGGCTCAGTTTACTAGCAAAGTTATGCATTTTTCGAACCTTTTCCAATGAACTCCAAGATCTGATGAAAAATACACGCATATGAAATTCCTTGTGCTTGTAGGTTTGAACTTTGGCATTTTAGCTCATTCCTGAGCTATAGGCATATAAATGCAGGGTTGGGCATATGTGTGGAAACACCTCATTTCTGACTGAACCATGCAAAAGTAATATTTATTTATAATTTTTTTCTGTGACGAGGGGAAACAAGTTTGAAATTTCATCTCTGTCGACAGGTTATAAAATGTCACTTTTCATAAATTACTTTTTATCCGGATATATATCACATGTATATACACTGTTGATGGCTTTTGTTGTGCTATAGTTCCGAAAAATAAGCCAATAACACGTGGACCAGTCACCATATGCTTGGACAGCATAGCTGCTATTATGGCATTGAGATCCAATAGGATCACAACTAAATTGGTGTCCGAGTGTAGAAGTGCCTTAGAAAATATGGCAAAAAGTCAAAAACTAGGAAAGTCAGCCTCATGTGGGTTCCAGGACACTCTGGTATCCCGGGGAACGAGGAGGCAGACAGACTAGCCATGATCGGTTCAGGAACGACACCCATTGGACCAGAACCGATATTGGGAATACCCATCAATAGTACGGCTATGTCCTTCATTAAGGAAATGCTACAGAGGCAGTTCCTTGAAACATGGCGGGACACACCAGGAAGGACACAATCAAAGCTCCATACAAAGGAACCTGCTCTAGGGAGATCCTGTCACTTAATAAAAGGGATCTCAAGATGGTAGTTGGGCTCTTAACTGAGCACAACCACCTCAACAGGCACCTCTAGAACTCATAGGGATCAAAGTAGATCCCATCGGCAGATAGTGCTTGGAGGATGATGAAACATCATCACACATACTTACTGAATGCCCCGCGCTGGTGCATCAGAGGAAAGCTGCCTTTGGGAGCATTGTACTGCGCCCAAAGGATGTGAAAGCGCCTCAGCTGAGGAAGCTGCTGAATTTCGTCAAAGAAATTGGCATGCCCAGCTGATTCACAGGACAAGTGGGCGCACAATGGGCCCGACTGAAGAGGCCTGAGTGCAGGGATCTACGCACCCGCCCACCTGTGCAGAGAAGAAGAAGAAGAAGAAGAAGCCAATAACACCGTCTCCGAGAAAGGAGTCCTTTTATCGTTCATTCAACTTCGCGGTTAAGTAAATTACTAAACAACCACTACAAGTTTTGGAAATCAAATCACATTTGACAGATATTTGATTACTTCAAAAGAATGATAAACATGTCTGCAACGCAGGTGTCATTACTGTTAAAAACTTCAAATTTCACGTCGATATAATGAGTGTCTGATTTTAATATAATGTGATATCTTCTCAATATTGATTCGTCCTTTTCCTTTTAAAATATTAGATTTTAACTCCAGCGTCGGGAGACAAAAAACCAATTTCTTCCCTTGTATAATAACTAACTATTTCTGTTGTACACAGTGAACAATATTGATTTTCGGTAGCTATCATATTGTTGAAAATACAGAGTGTCCCGTAAAGACCACGTCAAACCTAGGGAATATGTAGATCAAAGGATAACCCACCTGCATATGACAAAAAAGTCTCACCGTTTTTGAGATTTATTTTCTTTGGAAATTTTAAATTTTTGCCCCTTTCGATTGTTTTGTATGTACGGTTGGTATAATTTAACACCTTTTTGGTTAATTTTTTCAATAAATATTGCTGAATATTGTCATAGCAGGTGGCTTATCCTTTGATCTACATTCTCCCTAGGTTTGACGTGGTTTTTACGGGACACCCTTTACAGCGTTTTTTTTTGTGATTCTCCCTGAAGAGCTGATTTCATCAATGTGTCACACTTGGGGTCTAGCGAATATGATCACAGAGATATATTGTTTTCAAAATCGAGATTTTTCAACTTCAGGATTTTTTTGTGTCGAAACTATTCATTAGTGGTCAAGGCGGCTCACATGTCCCTATCATAACTTTTGATTTACTATCTATTGACATTCAATTGGAACAAATTACAGGGTGGTTGAAGATGCAGAATTCTAATCACCCTGTATCTGTTTCAATTAAATGTCAGTAGATAGTAAATCAAAAATTAGGACAGGGACATGTGAGCCATCTTGATTTTTCAACACCCTATATCTCTGTAATCATTCTTGCTACACCCCTAGTGTGATGCATCGATGGAATTAGCTCTTCAGGGATAACTCAAAATCGCTATAATATACAGGGTAAGCTATTAAAAAAACTGTTGACTGCGCCATAATATTTACAACAATATATGATAGCTAACAAAAATCAACATTGGCCACGGTGAAGGACAAAAAAAACTATAATCTTGATGAAAAAAAAAAAAAAACTTCTGGTTCAGTCAGAAATGAGGTGCCAAACTCGGTGCCAAACATGCTCAATTCTGTATTGTGAATATCAAAGAAATCTAGGAATAATAATGTAATATTTGACATCTCAGAATACAGGAATCCAGATTTTTGTATATTTCTGATTAAATTCGAGATTTATGCTTTCATCTCATTCTCACGATCTCAATCCGTCATTCCTAATAAAACGATAGTTATTTGTTTCGCTAGGCAAAAAAGCACAAGATTTAATGCCGCAGCTGGCGTTTCATAGCCAAGGCGTATTCACCGAATAATGTCAGTGTTCATTTTGATTACCAATTTGATTACAACGTCGCATAGCAACAAACTTTTGCTGTCATGTCAAGTATCATAGAAAAACCAATTTCTATGTCATTTGGAAAAAGTGTTATTTGTTTTTGTAGCGAAGTAGTAGGTATATTGGTTGCCGCTGCTGATAGTCAAGGCAGTCAATCTACTTTGCTGCCATGTAAAACATATACTTTTTTCTTCAGATGTTATGAAACTAATGTTGTGTACATTTTTTATGTCAGTGTCAATTTTGATTATACCAATTTCATTCAAATTAGTTGGAACGATGCATAGTAGAGTCCGACCACGTTAACTTTGGGACAGCATGTGACGCAACGTATATGCATATTCAATGCATACGCGAACACGTGCTGTCCCAAAGTTATCGTGGTCGGACTCTAACAAACTTTTTCTACGAGCGTGCGTGATTCACCCTATACCCGCACGAAATTTAGTTTGGGAAGTGTCATTTTCCCGCAACAGTGCGGGAAAATTTTCCCACACTAGTGCGAGAAACAAAAATATGATAAAATCACTAATAATATAAGTGGTTGGTAATGGTGCAGTTTTTTTGTTGCAATATTAAATATGTATGTTCAGAATCATCCATCAAATTGCACTATTTATTGTGAAAATCAAGAAATATTGAGAAATAAAAATTTACTATTATAAAAATCCCCCTGTAGATTTGGATTGATCTGAAGGGAAACGATTATTGTTGTCATGCCAATCAAACCTCAAATAAGTTTGAAATTGTCGAAGTGACAGATTTTTTTGACAGACATTTTCGATTCAGTGGAAATGCCACAATGTGATCAAAAACTTCTAGCTATTATAGGGATTCGATACAGATGCGTTATTACCAACGAAGTCTTAAGAAAGGTATGAGAAGCTATACACGCGTTTTATTGAATGGTGCAACAATAAAGAAATGAAAATACCGAACGAAGAATAGGTATTTTTGGCTCATTTCATAGAATAAGGGTCTGAAACCTAGAGACCAAACTCCTTACGGGCCTGCTGGCTTCCGCAATGAACTGATGTAAGTTCACAATAGCTATTACTAATAATTGGTAGATAGAGAATATATTTCTCTTGTTAGTTGTTCCTATTTGCATGAATAACTCATGCGGAAAGTGTCTTTCCCGCACTCGACTGCTTGCCCGAACTCCGCTTCGCGTCGTTTGTGTCAACGGCAGTGGCGTGCGGGAAAGAATCACTTTCCGCACTTGTTAGGAAAATTACTATTTCCTGCTTAGGCAGATAACAGAGAAAGTACACATTTCCTGTTGCTTGGAGAAAAGAGTGATTTTCTCTCAGTTCTGACAAAATTAATTGAAACCTTTCACTTGAGTCTTGAGTATGAGTATTTCAAACAGAGAATTTTAATCTAAAAATATTCATCTTCTTACTTGGAACCAGGTTTGAAATCATATTCATACAACTCCAGCATGTATAAAATAGTTGCCAAATATCTTCTGTACGCTTTCATTGGCGTACAATGTTGTTTCGTCAGTATCAATATCTTTAGCGCCGGTCTGAATCCTAAAGCTATCAACCCTAATAGGGCTGTGAGGCAAAAGCTGAATCTATTTTTGTGAAAACAGTTTTGACCCCTGAAACATATAGGTGTTGGATAATGGATAGATAGTACAGTGTGTCCAGTTTTCGATGCTTTTGCAGTTATCTTGGAGATAGAGAGTTGCGGTTTACACGTCCCTCTCCTACTTTTTTGTGTAACGAATAATACTGCGATCAGAATTTCCGCAGTCCTTTATGTTTTTGAGATACAGGGGGAAGTGGAAAATTCTCACTTTTTGAGCACCTCCTGACCTTTTGGTTACTTTTAAAGTTCTCAGCAGAATAGGAACGGGGTGTTATACAGGGTGTCTGTAAAAGGTCTTTACAAAAACATACCACATATTCCTTAGACCAAAATGAGTCGATTTGAGTGGAATTACCTCAGTACGAAGTTGCATCGTTTGGGCTCCAGAGGGCCATGAAGTTACAATTTTTAAATCGTTTTCCCCATATAAATTCAAAACGGCATATGCGATTTTGCTGAAATTTGGTATATTGATAGAGTTTCATGTGGAAAAAAAATTGGTGTTGAATTTTTGTTCGATATTAATCCATAGGCGTAGAACTTGATTTGATAATTGCACCTTCAACAATTCTACGCCAATGGAATAAAAGGAGTTTGAGTATGAAATTTAGATTGCGCAACTCATTTACATTAAAAAAGGTACTCTTGATAAGACTCGATTACTCTCATGGTTTTCGCTAAATTTCTGTTTTAATAATTTAAAGTGTATAGGTTTCACAAAAAT